AAAGTGGCATTGTATGAAACCTGGTTGGTTCAAAAGTATGTTATTTGAATAGCTGAATGCTTGGCTTGAAAAGTGGAAAGGAACTGGTAATATGTATCTATTTGTTCATATATTTATTATATATATGAAAAGTTTATTTCGTACAAAGTTTTGGTGATTCTCACCCTGCAAAGACATAAATAAGGTAACTCACTAGACCTTTCGATCTAACCATCATTTTGTGATTTTAAATATATATTACAGGAAGTGCTGAAAGTAAAGGGAAAGGGAAAATGTAATAATTTCCCTATATGTTTACCTGCATGAGGATTGGATGATGATATGTATAATTTTGACAGATGATCATTGACTAGTACAAGAATTTGTATTTTGAATTTTTAAACCATGTATTTCATATTGGTAGATTCTTGTACTAAAGAACCTGAATGATGTAAATACATGTATTTCCTATATGAAGTATATGTTACATGCAATGTGTGATATGGGATGTTACATCTAATAATCAATGAAGTGTATACTTTTGTGCTAATTGATCATATATGCACAAATTCAGTAATTTCGGTGTGAAATACATATGCTATGTAGGAATCTTTTCATGGTTTGTTCGTAGTTAAACTGTTTTACATTCTTAACGAAATCATGTTACCCTTCTCTTTTGTTTATGTATTCTTTTTGTGTTAGACTGCAACTTTTATTATTTAATTGAATGTTTTATATAATCAAATAATAACACCACAAACCAAGAGATACAAGAATTTGATTGGACCCAAAAATAATATAATTTTTTAGTCCATTATGTCTTGTAATCAAACGAAGTCAAGCAAACACACACACATCATTTACTTCAGCAACAAGAATCTCCCTTTCCATTTCCTTCTATTGCCATAGTGACAACAGTCGTGCTTCATTCAGAATTGGCCACAAGAAATCAAGAACCAGACCCAGCAAGGGTTTGGATGATAGTTTCATGCCACGGGTTCGATAAGTGCCTAATAAGGTTGTCGATAGGCCCCACATGAGTCACGTTAGCCTGCACGAACATCCCAACCATCGCCACCATTGCAAGCCGCCCTAAAACATCCCACTCCATTAGTCCAAAACCAGTTACTACTTACTAATAGCTGCAACATAATCCAAATATCAAGATAAAAAAGATTGCACCATTTTTTATCTCCTTCAGCTTCCACTCATCAGCATTTCTTATGTCCTTAGCAAGACCAAGAGGATTTAGCAAAGGCCCACCAGGATATCTGTTATATATCATTACCATATATAGAATCAGTCTATAAAAAATGGCCATAACCTACATCTTTTATTGGTTATTATATGTATTAATAGAGAAATTGCACCAAAATGTTGAATCAAGATTGTCAATATTAAGGTAACCAACTTTTTACCCAGGTTCTAAACCTTCTAGGGCAGCTTCCAAACCGAAAAACGACCCTTCTTTGGCTTGAGACCCTGGATTAGTGAAATCCATGTACCTTTTGGTCTCAGCAAACCTGCAGAAGTGAATTTTGGAGCCAGAAAGTGAACTATAGGAGCAAGGCAACGTTTAATCAATTTATGACTGTTCAAAAGTGTCTGGTTTTACCCCATCAAAAGTAGTTGAACAATGAACAGAGTTCTAGTACTGGCAAAATCAAACTTGGTGGCACCTGCTTCGTACCACACTGGTAGGTTGCTTAACCCTGTAACACGAAGCAACTGCAACAAAAATGTTCGGTAAAATTGTCATTTAGTTGATTAAAGTTGTAATAATCACATGTTTCTAAAACACTCTTCTTCTTTGTGGATATTATTTTGGGACGGAGGGAGTATAATACTAAGATGCTAGGGGAAGAGAAACAAACTCACATCAGTGAAAAGAATTCCAGCGACTCCAGCCATAGCAAAGCGAGCATGAACCAGTTCTGCCTGCACATACCACTTCAAGCTCTCAGGATCCTCTCCAAGTCCAAGAGGGTCAAACCCGAAATCTCCAGCAAGACTTCAAAGAAAGAAAAGAAAGAAAAGAAAGAAAATAAAAGCAGTATGTTAAAAAGAATTGAGCGACAAAGATATGAGAGACGACCAACTATGCTTTTTTACTAATGCCAATGTGAGAGTATTGTAAGGGCTTACGTTCCATCAAGATAGGGTGGAGGGTCAAGCCCAGGAAGCCATGTGGGTCGCTGCTGAGCTTGAATGGCAGTTCTCAAGTGTCGGGCACCCCTGCCCCATCTACCCGGAGAATATATGGGAGTTGTACCATATGCTGTTCTTAATGTACTGTTACATATGCTGTATTTTGCAAGAAAAGATGAAGAACAAGAGCTTACCAGTATATGGGAGCTTCTTCCAATTGAAATGTACATTTCTTTCTCCTTATCAACAAATAACAATCCAACTGCCACTCTGTAGGCATAAAAACCACAAGGGGCCCACTAATATCCAAGTGAGCACTTGAATCCACAAATATGTGATGGAAGGACACAACTTATCCAAATTCTTTTCAGCCATTGACTCAAAAATTAATATAAACATTTGAAAGAAAGATAAAAACTAAAAGGGCTTAACTTCATATGATGTTAGTAGATAACATGTTCATCAGCAACGATTTTGATTAACCTTAAACGAAAATCAAGCACTAAAGGTTCTCCTTAACCATTACAACAATCTAGTTGCTAACAAGAAAAGTACGTCGAGTTGTTGATAATGACAGTACAAGGAAGAAAGTTCCTTTTTCGGACACAAATCACAGAAACAGAATCTAAGAAGGTTCAAAGGTCGACAAGGATCATTTCTTAAGCGTAAGAAAGTCTGCTAGATATGCTGAAAGAGCTAACTTTCATGGGAGTAGCCACAACCAGTGGAGCCTCAGGGGAATCACTAACTGCAAACTTCTCATGCATGAAACGACTATCAACAATTGAATCGTCTTTAGGGACTATCTTGTAGCAGTAGCAACTCTTCAGACCCACCTGATTCCTATAGCATTCATGAGTACCATCCTTCACCTGTTGGAAGTTCCATATCACACTGAACTTGCCCACTGTGGCAACAAGGTGGCGCTCTTGCTTCCCATCTTCAGTTACCTATGACAGTCATGAAAAGGCCTATATATCAATCCAAAGTTCTAGCAACCCAAAAGATATAAAACAATTTATTATACAAACAGTAATATCTAGGATGCATCACAGTGTCCATTGCCATTCCATAGCCCCCCACACCATGTGAATCAACGTAAAAGAACAGTTAAAGTAAATAGCATTGATACCATGCTAAATTAGCATTCTTGGTTTTTTATGACCATCACAGTTTTAGTTTATTTTCTTTCATTTTCCCTCTAACATGTTATAAATGAGTACAAATTGCATGCTGGTTGAAGGACCATCATCATGAAGGAATAGTTATACAGGCACAACGTCAGCCATTTCACCATCCACAGGTTGAAGCATAAGCCTTCAAAGATCAAGGTGTAAGCTCCTTTAGTTTCACAATTAGTTGTTCTCGCCTTATCAGATATATTAATATTAAAAAAATACGGCACTGAATTAGAAAAGATGAATTTAAGCAGAGTAGTGAAGGAAGTATAACTAAACAAAGCTGAAAAGAAGTAGCCTGCAATCCTACCTGTGTATCTATCAACTAGTTTTCATAAAAACAAATGGGTTGTAAATTTACTGTAAGATGTTACAATAAATATAGAATCAACGAGCATAATGTGAACCATGGAGACATCAACCTGAACCACCAATCATTATCTTATATTACAAAGACAGCGAATTGAGAAATGAGCATACGGCTCTTTCAAATAGGACGCCACTATGCGACTACATAGATCCACAAACCAGATATTGCGATCACAATAAAATGTTAGTTTGAAGCACACCATCACGCATATGATAGAAATAAAACAAACCGAGTGAAGTGAGATGCATACCCAAGAGAATTGGGCTCCACGAAACTTATTGTTTATTCCAGCCCTGTGTGAATCCAGAGGATTCAATTTCAACAGCCTTGGGGCTGAGATTCTATTTCCCATACGCCCAGCAAAACCTGTCTTCGATTTCCCATCCTTATCAGTATATAATGTGCAAATAAGGACCAAATAAGTATCAGTTGTGCCCAAAATCCACTTCCCGTCATAAGTAACATCCACATGTGTAATGGGTGACCCAAGACCTGGAAAAGCAGTCTTGGCTTGTCTCATGGAAGTGACAGAGTACAACCTTATCTTCCCATCAACAGAGCCAACAACAATTGATCCATCACCAGTAGTTGCAAAACACTGAAAATTAGTCCCTCTGGAGAACTGATGTCCTTGTGTCCAATTCAAGACAGGGGTATTCGCATCAGCAAGATTCTGAACTATCCCATGGCGGTCACGCATATCCCACCTACAAAGCCTATTATCATCCAAACCCAAGAAAGTAGATCCTGAAGGGTCCATCTGAGCTCCCTTGCTATCATTTGTGACATCCCGCATTGTAATATCAGTTCCATCTTTTGCAAACTTCCACTCGGTTACAACTTTCCCTGTCTCTATATCAAACTGATGGAGTCCCCTGGTGTGTGGCTTCCCATCAGTCATTGGACTCATTAACAGCATATTTGTTTCAGCTTTCATGAGAAGAGCTTTTCTAGGAGTTGATTCAACATGACCAGTCATCCCACTATCAAAATTAACATAAACTCCTTTTCCATGAATCCCATGACTGAAATTCTTAACAACTTGAATACCAGAATCACTTACCAAAAAACTATTGTCCAAGGCCCCTAAAGCCAAGCTTTTTATACTTCCCCCTTTTGCAGCCTCCTCAAACTCCTCTCTGAGATCATGGTTGGCTCTGACCGGAGTCTTAAAAGCAGGGCTTTTGGAGAAACTATCTTCAGCATCCTCCCACATAGAATCGTCAGCAGCTTCAGGATTCGCCCACGCTACAAAATCCTTGCCATAAACCTTAGCCTTATTCTGATCGGTACATTCAAACCCATAAGTGTTCTCAAACAAACACTTCTCATAGAGCTCAATAAAACCCTTGTAATCCTCGATACTGGAAAACTTCAGAGCATAAACACCATTGGAAACAAAATATATCTGCAACTTATCCATAACCGGCTTCAACTGCAACCGTTGATCAACCAGAGACCTAACTTTTGACCCAACTTTCAAAAACCAATATAAATCCCCATCTCCCTCTGCTTCGTCTTCCTCTTCTTCCTCGTTCATCGTCGTTTTAAGGAAAGAATAGGATGTGAGTTTATCGGCGACGACCCATTTCGACTTACTAGTGTTTCCACCAATATGAATGTAAAGCTTAACAGCGTTCTTGAGATTTTGGCTTTTGGATTCGTATTTAAGTTTCAGGGCTTTTAGTTTAGCATCAATTTCGTCTACAGACGATGGGGTCTTGGACGGGGTTTTAGTGGCTGAATGGTGGTCTTTAACATCTTCATAAATTTCGTCTTCTTCTTCCTCCTCCGACTGTTGCTCTTCTTCCTCGGATTCAGAGTCGGAGATTTCCAAATCTTGTCGGCTTTCTGCGGCACCCATTTGGAATTTGTTTGAAATTGGTTTGGGCGTTAGGGTTTGGAAGAAGAAAAATGGTAGTGATAGATCCAATTGAGGCAGAAGAGGAGCGTGAGTAGGTGAATGTGAAGAGGCGCGCAAATTGAAATTTTGAAATTGTTAGATGAGTAGTTCAAAGATTAGGGTTTTGGTGGATCCACTTCCACTCCACCTTTACTATTAATCCCTTGCATTTTTTAGTTCTGATCATACTTTATCATTAAATCAATCAACATAACCTGTTCAAAAAACAGCAACAATTGTTGAAGAAATGGGTGTAATTTATATTAATATTAATGGACGGATATTTCCAATTTCCACTCTCTCCTTAATTGGCTCGTAATACACCCACCTTTTTGAAACCTAAAAGTCTTAATAAATCAATTGCTTATTATGTTGTTTATGCATATTACTTATAACTAGTTGTGTATTCGTGTAATGCGTCGGGAGCCGTGAATTTTAACGATTTTAAAGTTTTACTGGTTTTATTATAGAAGATTTAACGATGAACTTAAATTAAATTATAATTAAAAAAATTGAATTAAAAAATTACACAAAAAATGAGAAATTTTAAATAGTTAATTTGATACTAATATCGATATAATTTTGTTAAAATTTTATGATATCTTCAAATTTAGATTTTATTCAAAAATAAAAACATCGCCGCTTTTTCAAAATCACATAAGACTATATTATAACATCGATTGAGATAAAAAAATAAAAAATAAATATTAAGATCAAGATGTATTTCGCTGTATTGTGCAAGTACCCTTCTAGTAATAATAATAACAATAATAATAATAATAATAATAATAATAGGCCCAAGAGATTAAATCTTTAGGAATCCACCATAATAGATTATGGGCCCAATACCTCTTAATGAAATCGAAACACCATTTTTGGCCCAGATGTAGATCCATATTGTAAGACCCATCAATTCTCATTTTTTTTCCACCAGATTACAACTTTTGAGATCAATGAACATGGTGCGAACAGTAGCCTTCCGTTTGATATCCCATCATGAAAAACATTGATCAGGTCGATGATTTTTCTTGCATCCAACACTGGTTCCTGATCAATTTCGCTTCACAATCATCTCGACCTGTTCAATTTTATTTTCCCCATAATCCATCCCAATAATTTCAATCAAAATCGCACCTAGGGTTTCAACCCAATAGCCATCGCCAACCATGGATTCAAACAAGCAACCCGATTGAAAGGAAATCCAGCCATACCCTTGAAGAAAGCGACGAACTTGGGTTCTTTTCGATGGACATGACTGTTTCAAACACATATGACATCAAAAGATGATAGACGGTCGATACAAACTCAGCCAAGCAATAAGATCAATAGCTTTTCCAAACTCTATTACTATTAATTGGAATCCAAGCATTAGGATTCCAAACTTCATCTTTTATCAATGTCCATCGCTGGTGGAAATCCATTTTTATATGCAGACCTTTTGCAATTTGAGACTTTCCTTGATGATGCAGCATAGGGTAGCTGGTTGGCTGCATCAGTTGTTCACATAAGAAGAATCTATACCAATCTCCCATTTGCCAATTTGAAACCAAAACAACATTAAAATTGTTTTCTTTTGCATGGACCGTAATATTGTAATTTTCTTCTCCATTCAATTACAGTAAAAAAAATCCCTTATGGATGTAGCATAGGAATAGCTGGTGAGCTGCATCAATTAATCACCAAAAACTTTATACCAAATCCCAGAATTCCAAATAAAACAGGAATCCATAATAGAGTTTATGAATTCAGTATGGTTCCAAATAGTTAGGTACCAGCAGTCAGCCTTCCCAATCATACAATTATCAACAGACTTCCAAAACAGTAGCTTTTTCCATTTAATTCTGATGTCTTCAACTACTATGATGACAACCAATTTCTTACAAGAGGCATACTATTTAGATCATCCTTATAACCCCCAAACAGCAAAATAGCACAGTATTTTACAAAAGTCCATGTTGTCAAACCAAAAAAACAAGGATAGAACTAAAGCTTTAATCCATATGAAATGAACCAAACCAAAACAAAAAGGATAAACCTCAGACTGAGTATGAGACAAGACTTAAGCCAGGTAAATCCAAGTAGTTTAGTAGTCCACCTCAATTTTATCAATACATCTAACAAAGCTAGCTCTACAATTGTACAATGTAAGAAAGCAAATCAGAATAGCAATTCCTAAATTTATCATGTTCGTGGTATCAAATTGTACATCACGTTGGGAAACTTTATATCTTGCATATGCTTAATTAATAAATGTTTTTGGGCTTCATTCACACTTGTTCTGCAGCTCCAAACACTGAACTCCCAGCAACAATGCAATTTGCACCTACAGCAGCTGTGTTTTAATGGTAGAAGGCCCTAAACCTCCATCTACCTGCAATCCTCCAATCAAACACCCTTTCATATGTTACCATAAGGATAATCCAAATATGTCTGCATGAGAGGAAGGTATAAGCTACTCCTTCATGAATCAAACACAAAGCTAAGGGTGAAAGTTGGAATAAAAACAAAGGATTTACTTTGGAATAAAAACAAAGGAATCAAACACTACTCCTTCTAATATGCAGATAGTTCTTATAAGGACCATAACATCTTCCACAGGTATGAATGATATGTAGACTACATAAAAATTTACTCTGACAATAATAACTAACCTAAGAGTGGACAAGTATAAGATCTTATAGATGCAAATAGCAAAGCTCAAAATTGTGCAATTATTAATGAAGTCCAATCCAACAGAGAGAATTTCTATATCATATGGCTAAAAATTCTGCAAGTACCAAGCTTTAGAAGCAACAACAAAATGAGCAAGTCAAATTTCAAAAAGTAGTGTACTGATGTCAATTTGCATTAAGACAATTCCGTAAAGAAGAAATCTATGCATGTCTTTTTTTTGTCATTTGATTAATGGCTTCAAACCCATCAGGTCATCACAACTTCATTTACTAACAAAATAGGCAGTAGCCAAAGTCGTTAAAATAATTGGAATGTCAAAAATTCAATGTTTCAAGCCACGAACAAAGAAATCCAATAGGCTCAAGAGTTGACTATAATCAAATCCAACCCAATTATTTATTATGCAAAGTGCAACATAATTTATTGTTATTTGAGCAAGGTAAATAAACCTGTTGTATAACCTAAATCCATATTTATGCCTACAATAGATCTTTACCTATAAGGGTGGGTGTCATTTGACTGCAATYYGTGTTCACTGACAACCTTGTTTTGAACAATCCTTTTTTGCTCTCCATTGCTATCCATAGGTCTTGTGAAAACAGTGCCTACTGAACGTTTTCTTTTCATTTTCTTATCCCACCCTTCCTCTCTTGCAGGCAACCTTTGAATCTTCTCTTCTAACATATTAGATTCTCCACCATTGTCCTTGAGTAAATCTCGATCTTTAATCAATGCCACAGGCTGCCTTCTTAGACCATTACTCCAGAATTCTGCCTGGAATAGATTTAGATAATAACATAAGATGAGCTCCACAGTATATATAAAAATTTAAGTGTGCTTAGGAAATTCATCAATACAGGTTTGACCACAGGATGAGATAAAAAAACTGGAATTCAAGCAACAACACAATTGATGGATGTTGTGTTACCAAAAGCAAAAGCCTATCAAATAAAGTGGTTTCATAGTTGTATCATACCAATCCAAACTTCTCATAGTGATGCACTGCTTATTTTTTGTACACAGGACATGGGAGATTGACCATAATTTAGAAGGACAATGATACTTAATAGTTAGTACCCTATATGAAAATTCACTTTAACAATGTTTACATGCAAATTCACTATTTAATAGCTTTCTAGTAGATCAATGAAATAACTTATATAAGAATTGACATGTTGATTGACATTTAGTTGTAATCCAAGCCCACTTAACATTACAGAACATACAAGGAGATAGTATTATTGTTCTAAAACAGGCATTCAGTTAATGTGCTACAAGGGTGTAAACAAAATATACATGGTGCTGCAAAAAACTTGTTGTTAAGATGTGTAGTTATCAGATCATGTTAGTTGGAGAGAATGGATGAAAAAATCTATGCAGAAGCTTACAACTACTTCAATTTCAGCAACTTGATCACTGCAAACTGTTTAATAACATAATTACAAATAAATCATATACTATAAAATACCAGTTGCATCTATAAATTTTTTGAATTTAGTTTCGAACCTTCTATTTTAAATCAAACACAAAATTGAAATAAAATTCAATTATAAATCTCTACAAAATCTACTATAATTTTGCAAACCCGTACAACCAAGCAAGGAGTTGAAATGTTTATTTTTCCTAGACTGGGTTTAGAGAGGGGTCCCCCTGCCACTAACCTCCTAAAAATTCAAATTGTTCATGCTCTATGCCATATAATTCAAAAACAAATTCAAAACCACGCCACACATGTAATGGAACAAAACAAAACAAAACCAAACCAAACCAAATTCTTTCAAGTAAAAAGGTAGGATGAGATCCATCGTTCAGTAATTGCTAACTGCTGCACCAAATACCAAAAGAGCCTCCACATTTGTGTTTTTAATCCCTTTAAAACAAAACAGAACAAAACAAAACCACCTAAACATTTAAATGAAGTCGATGATKATGATTGYAGCAGGTAGTCGCCMYCCCTCGCCTTTTTACCCCTCTCTCATTGCAATCCTTAAGCCTCTGCAAATCTGCAAAAGTAACCAACTTTCTTAATTTCAACACAAAATGCAAGGCACCAGGCTACTATATACATATGTATTCATGAAATGGCAAATTTACCCCAACTCAAAGAGTTTCATGTGGGATTCTGCATAATCAGCAAAGAAAGCATCCTCATCCTGATCATTTACAAGACAAAAAACAACTCTAAGCAACCAAGTATTATAAAAATATACAAATGAAGCAAATAGTGGACATGTACTCACAGCAGCATATTTCTCAACCAAGGGTCGGAATACAGGGTCTGCAAGAAG